AGAAAATTAGAACCTCTAGATACGGTTTTTCAAAAGGAGATCAACTAGACTTCCCTTCAGTAAAAGTAGGAACAGCATTGCTTTATAGTACTATTATTCTTTTAAAATTTGTGTGTTAACTCGTGGCCTGTGTAGTCATTTATGTTTATAGTTACTATTTTACCCTTTGAAGATTTTTTTTTGTGTGTATTTTCCCATTATGTATGTATGCCATTAGTTTACCCCAAACTGAATTTCAGAGTTGTTCAGTGAAATAGTGTTTGTGAGGTCACCCAGGTTTAGAAAAACTTTGTATTGTATACTCCTCTTTGAAAATCCAACTCATATTTGCACATTAAGTAACAAATTTGTTTTTCTATTAAATTTACCTCTCCTAAATGTTTCCAAGGCTTGTTTTGCCAAGGAATTTTTTTTTTTAAAATTTTTTAACAGATATGCTTACACTTGAGTTGTAGGGGACATAATTTGGGAAATATTTATACTAACCCAACACTTAGATTTTGTTTGTATGTGTCTTAGTTACTCTTCTCTCGTTGCTATGACAAATACCCGACACTCAAAATGAAGGCAGGAAAGGTTTATTTAGCTCACAGTCACTGGAGGTTTCAGTCCATACTCAGCTGGGTCCAACACAGAACAGCACATAGCAGAGGGCAACCTTTCATGGCGGTGGCAAAGAGCAAGAGCGCAAGGGAGGGGTAGCAGCAGCTCAAGCAGCTAGCGTCTCTTCCCACCTTACATCGTAATGCACATCACCTGCCCCAGGGCGGGTGCAGCATCCACACCCACAGTAATCAATCACAAACTCCAGAAGCTGCCCCAAGACTGCATGAGGCTTTGGGGGGACACCTAGACACAAACCATAACAGTATGTTTATATAAATTTATGGGCAACATAATTTTGTGCTTGGTAAGAAAAAGACTAATGTTTGCCGTTGTGGAGGAAAGAGGGAATGAGATATGACTGCTAAGGGTTTCTGTTTAGAAACCTTTCTGATTGATCACAGAAAGTTTGGATGTGGTGGTAAAATTCATATATAGCTGACAAGAAAGAAATCTATCATGAAAAATACATTTTTTTTAGTGGAAAATTAGTATAATGAGTATTGGGTTAAAAATCATGTAAAAGAAAAGGCCAAAATTAATTTGAGAAGATACTTTGACAGAACTCATGTAAAGTCACTAATGAGATTTTCTTGATTTGCTTGCAGAGCAACAGCTTTAAAATTAGAGTTTGGTCATAATGTGTCAGATTAAATTTGGAAGCAAAATGAGAGACGGTTTGAATAGATCCCTATATCCCTTGGTCATGTTTTTGCTGCAAACCATTTTGGCGATAATCACTCACAGATGGTGGGCAGGGAAAGACAGCGGTCACATAACAGGTGTGTGATACGTGTCCCTATTCACTCTGGGCTGCCGCCTGCAGCTCTGAACCCAGTGCTACTGGATTGAAACTTACATAGATCAGATTTGTTCTTTGTGAATGTCTGTATTCATTCAAAGTATACATATGAAGCTGTAGAAAAATTGATATTTGAAATTTAGAAAAATGCTGTCTCTAATAATCCATTAGAACAGTTGTTATCACATCTTTTTTTGTAAAGTGACTTTTTTCTACACATGAAATGTTCCAAACAGTTGAGCATCTAGAATAAGGAAACAGCTTCTTAGGTTGGAATGAGAGGTGTGGCAATGGATAAGTGTCAGTGAAATCCAGGTAGCTTAGAGGAGCATGGTTCACCCCCGTGTTTCCTATAATAACCTCCCCAGATGCTTTCTTTCAGAATTCTGTTTAAGATTGCCAGCATGAAAAAGCTGATCGAGTGGAAATAATACTTGCCTATAAAGTAGGAGGACCTCCCTGCCCACCCTCCCCCACGCACTATTTCTGGTGGGCCAGGACTGGTCTTAAACTACTGTGCTGAGCTGGCCCCACCACCTTAGCCTACTACTAGCTGGGCCTAGTACACCACATGGCTGACTGAGGCTAGTGTTTGCTTTTTTCTATTTGAGCTGTGTGTATACGGATGAATTTATATAAACACCCTCCTCATTCATAAAAAAGAGGTCATTTAAGTTGGAGCCTTGTAAGAATCTCTTCCTACTCCTGGTATATGATTTTGGAATTCGAGAATTTGGTGAAAAATGTAATTATCTGAAATAAAACGATGAAGCAAATAAAAATGATCCAAAGGGTTGAATAGATAGATACTTCACGAGAGATGTTCAAAAGGGTAGTGACCACATTCTTAGTGACAAGGAAGTTAAAATCGAAACCACAGTGAAATAAAATTTCATATGCATTGGACTAGCTGTGATTAAAACCGTTGGCAGCGGAAGATGTAGTGAGGATGTGCAGTAACTGGAGGTCTTGTGTCTTACGGTGTAAATAGTGCTGATTTCTGCTGTTGCCTATGATACATACATTTATATATTATCGCTAAGGAAAACATGACTCTCCTTGTAGATTTATTTTACTAATTATTTGCAGTTTACATTTCATCTTATGTTTATTTTCTAATCATCCAGATGTTTTTCTGAGTGTATTTAGATTCTTAGTGATTTTAGGAATAAAATGTAGTTTGGAAATACTTATAAAATCTTACAAATATCTGAATTTTTTAATGCCAATCTTTGAAATATTGGGGGAAATTTTTTTCTTGATGTATCCTCCATATGAATAAAATAATAACAGATGGCTTTTAATTTTGAATCTTATTTGCTCTCATTAAAATAGGAGAATTCAGTGGTGATTAGTGTTGATTTAACAGGGGACTGTCAGAAATACAGATGTGCTAAGCATTAGACTCATAGACAAGTTTGTCCAGCTTCTTTTTGAAGTCTTCCTGAGAATTTTTTTATATCCACATTTCATGAACAGACTCCATTACTTTTGAATAGATGTAAACTCAAAACATAAGTGATTTCTCTTTGAAAACTGTATTTCCCTACAGATACCTGTTCTTATGAATTGTGCTGAAAGTGACCACAGTGGCAGAATTTTAAAGAGCCAGGTGTATCAGAGGTGCATGACTACTGATGATGTGATGCCTATACCTGGTAGTTTTGATCACATACTTAATTCTTCCTGTGGTTTTGTAAAAGATGTCCATGTTTGTGTTCTTGTGAGAAAGATGGTTGTGGTGATGTTGGTCATCCCATGCAAGAGTTTGCAAACAAAATAAAATTTTGTCAGATGTTTCCATTTGTGAACCAAATGGTTGGGGCCAGAGAGATAGTTCAATCCCTGGTTCTGCCAAAACAAAACAAACAAAAAACAATAATAAAAAAACCCCTCAAACCCCCCAAATGGTTAGCAAACAGAAGCATTTGTGCACCAAGGTATATTGGTATAATAGTATACCAATATATTTGTATAATAATCTTCAAGAGGGAGGAAATATGAACTATTTTGCAATGCAACCATTGAGTAAGACATAGGAACCACTCCTATTTCACTTTATACTTATTCTGTAACTCCTGGGCAAAACGCATTCCTTAAAAGCAAAACTCTCTGCAGCTGGGTGTGGTGGTGCATGCTTGTAATCCCAGCACTTGAGAGGCTGAGACAGACTGATCATTGTGAGTTTGTGACTAGCCTGGGCTACAAAGTGAGCTCAAGACCAGCCTGAACTGCATGGTGAGATGGTGTCTCAAAAAGAACAAAACAAAACAAGCAAACCAAACAAACCCCCCAAAACCCCAAAACCAAAAAGTCTTCCCGTGATTCATGGGGCCATTCTACTTTGGACGCCTGAAAAGCAAATAGTATCAAAGTAATTTCTCATCCAGTTTCAAAACATTGAAAATATTTTACTGGCTATTTTATGTTTTTCTAAAACACTACTTTAAGTATGGTAACATTTATAAAAATTACAAAGGTTATAAAATTCTAATGTTACAATGCTAGAAATTAAATGTACATTTAACTGATTTTTATTTTTTCCATTTTTTTTCTTAACTAGGTCCTTTCTGATGTTGCTTGAGCTTATTCTGCAGTTGATCTCTTTGCCGTTGGCTAAACATAAGTTCCATGACAACACTAAGTTCACGTGCATGTGTGCTAGGCCTCACTTACGATACCCAGACCGTGTTGCAGAGAAAATGACTCTCTGCCTGTACACTGAGTGGTCTAGTTCCGCTCTCTCTGTTCCTAGGGACACTGTAACTTATAGTACCCAGTATATAGTCGCTTTCAGACTTTTGACTAAAGAACATAGTTGAGTTTTTGGAAAGTACGAGATTTACCAATTTGGTCTTTAATACACACATAATTATTAGTTAATAAAGCAGGTAATTATTGGTACATATGATGAATGTATATAGTGGAATGATAATATTTCAAATGTAATTGTTTTATAATAATTTGGTTCAGTTTTTTTGATTTTTCTATAAGTTGATAATGGTTTCTTAATGTTTATTTTATGAAGATGATTTATTTTACTGTTTTGTGGTACCAGTAGGCCTCTATTAAATTGGTATGTGGAGTTTTATAAATGTTTCTATTAGCATTTAAATAATGAAATATTGGAAGTTAGTTTATGCCAAATGTTTCTAAAGTGAAAGGGTAATATTTCTGCTGGTTTGTTACCTAATACAGCTTTTTAAAGAAAACAACTATGAATTGTTGTTTTTTATCTTTTCTTCATGAACTACCCTTTATTGCTGTAAACAAATTTAGAAGAAGCTTCTTCGTGGAGCAAGACAAATCAGAGGTACTCTGTTTCTGTCTTAAAAAAATATCCAGGAATGCATTCTGTTAAGATCTCTGAGGCATTGTTTCAGTGACGGAAAACATTAAATTCTGACTTGGTAAAATTATTAGGATTTGCATTGCAGTGAAATTGGAAGTAATCTTCACCACTGATACAGTATCAGGATTTTGAATGTTAGAATATTATGTTAAAATGTGATTATAGTTTTAATGATTTGCCTCTTGGCATTAAATTTGTGTCCATAAAGATGTGCAGTGTAATTGTTCATGTATTTATTTACAGAGTGCAGTTTCCATCGCAGCTCAATAAATAGTCTTTCCCCTGTTAGTGCCACCCTCTCTTCTGGGGCTCCCAGCGTGCTTCCTTACGCGTCAAGGCCTTATTCTTATCCAGGCTATCCCTTGTCACCAGCAGTGTCACTTGTTAATGGCAGCCATGTTGGACAGCGACTGTATGTCTCCAATCAGGCCTTATTCTTCTGAAGAAAATCTGTTAACAGTATGGAAATTACTTTGTGTAAAGCATGCAAAGTAAAATACTGTGGTATTTTAGAATCGGGTGTACACATTTGGCTTTAAAAATGATATATCCTAGCACATTAAACATCAGCTATAATTCAGAATAGCAGAGTTGTTGAATTTATAAAAAATGCAACATTTGAAAAGTTACTCAGTGGTTTGCAAACTGTGTGGAATTTTCTTGTAATTTCTGAGTGGGCAGTAGATCCCAGTAGTTTTCTGTGTAACTGCTTTGTAAAATTTTCACAAATATTAAGACACTTGAAAATAATAGTTATAACTAAATATGATAACCAAGGAGCACTATCTGTATTGGAGTTTGGACCGCTTATATATTAGGTAGAAAGAAATGATGAGAAAAATGATTAAGATGCTAATTTTATGCAGTACTAAAGACAACACAGTCTACCATTGTGGTCCTTGAAAATAGCTATAAATATTTTAGTTAATTATTTGTTACAGAAATAAATTATAATTTTGCTGTTACATATTTAAGGTTTTTATAGTTATACTTCATTTATGTTTTTGATATTCATTGTATTTGAATAAGTATTAATGGTTTTTAATGTTGAAATCATGTGTTAATTTTTGTACTTCAATTTGAACTTTCTGACATTAAATATGTGATGCTTCTAATGTGTGTGTTTTATTTTTATTAGCATATACATGTCCACACAGCTGTCACAGTCACTGACCTTTGAGAACAGTTTTTCTCACTGCATGTGTGGTCATAATGTCATAGATTCATTATCTTCATGAGAAATGAAGCTTGGGCTGACAAGCTTGGACTGACAAGGTTGATTTTATGAAACAGTAACATCATTTGCAGGGACCAGTAGAAATAGTTGTGTGGTAGAGCCACTGAGTTCCCCATGAAGAGGGAATGAATCCATGTCATTTGGACTCTTCATTAGCAGTTTATATGAATAAACGATGGTTGTTGTGATTGATAGCAGACAAAAACTGGATATCAAACATGACTTGTTGATCAACTTCTTGTGAACCTTGTATTTAGGATTTGGCAACTTGAAACAGTTGTAAATAATTGTCCTACCAATTTGAGTTTCTAGCAGAAGTTGTATGAAGAGTAAATTCATCTCTTTGATCCTCTAAAGGAGATTCATTGCACATAAATTATATGTTCCTTTTTTTTTTCTTCACATGTTACCCTTTTTTGCTGCCCTAGATTTTCTAACTTAAATGAGTATGGACAAGACAATTAGCCCTCTTTTTTTTTCTGAAACAACTGTATGTGCATTGTGTAGGTTTTGTGTTTGTTTTTTCCTGCTTCGTGTGTAGCCCAGGCTATCCTCAGAAATGCTGTCCTTCTCCCTCAGCTTCTCAAGGGCTGGGTCGCAGCTGGGCACCACCACACCCGGCCCAGATGTTGCGGTGTAGTTGCTGTCACTGAACAGACACACAGTGCTTATTTTGGTGATGTTTTACCTATGGGGTACACAAAGGTGAAGCCAAGCCAGAGGGAGCCAGACCTTCTTGGCTTTTCATAGAAATGTTCTCATTTGCATGAACAAAAATAATAAAGTCTCCACATGACTTTTCTGCTTTGGAAAGAAAATTTCAAAACAGTTGAAAGTTGAGTTTCCTGACCCCACAAACTACATAGAGATCCATGGTAGCAGTGGGAATGTGTAAGTTTTGGTTTCAGATTTGACTACCACTTCTGTCAAGGAACAGCTTTTCTACTTGGATGCTTTAATGAGTCATGCTTTTCACTTCTGTAAAATGGTGGCACATTTCTTAAAGATGTAATATTAGAATGCATTGCCATTGAAATAACGTGGCCGGTCCAGTAGATGGCGCTCTCACTGGCAGTTCTGTGAAGACGTCATGCTCCTTTTCTGCCACTTTTCCTCCTCCTCCCTTCAGAGGGAACTACAGAAAGCGAGCCTTTATGGGGAGCGCTGCTCCCTTCTGTGCGGTTAAGGTTGAGCAGTTACTCTCACTCCTATTACGTGGGTTTGTTTGATCTGTGAACATGCCGATTATTTACTGTCTTAATTTTTATAAGTTATATAAGGTCCTTGCCCCCAGCAGGGGCTTCCCTAGTGAGCTGATCATAAAAACTATTGATAAATATTAGCAATGTTACAGCTCACTGGGCAGAAAGCAATTCTAGTGATTTGCTTCTTTTTATTGGCACTAGGAATTAAACTGAGGACCTTGTACTTGCCAGGCAGACACTGCCACTGAGCTATGACCCCAGCCCTAGAAAACAATTCAGACAGCTGTTGTTGAATTTGTGGACACCTTTTTGCAAAGTATTATGACTGAGATGTGGGACTGTGACCTCCTCTGAAGCCATGCTCTGCTTTATTTAAAACTTCTTACAGGAAAGACAAAGATACGCAGGTTAGTGGACCTTCTCTCTAGTTTCCTTCCTTTTCCTATGGAGACAGGGTCTCGCTATGCATCTCAGGCTGGTTTTGTGCTCACTTTGTAGCCCAGGCTGGTCTCGAACTCACAGTGGGCCTCCTGCCTCAGCCTTCCAAGTGCTGGGGTTACAGGTGTGCACCACTATGCTCAGTGGTTCCTTTCTTTGATGCTTTGAAGACAGAGTCTTTTTAGACAGTCCAGGCTGGCCTTGAACTTGAACTCCTTCTGCTTCAGCCTTCCTAGTGTTGGAATTATAGGCACATGTCACTACACCTGACCTCTAGTTTTTTATGTAAGAGTGGGTAAGACTTCTATTGCAATGACTGAAAATCTAGAAGTCATAGTAGAAAAAGTTGATAAATTAATTTTGTGAAAAGAATCTCCATAGCAAAAGTACTGCTTTTATCAAAAGACAAATGGTAAACTGGAACAATATTTGCGTATTTCACAAAGGGTTAATATTTAGTTTCTAGGTGCTGATAAAGCTAATGACCCAATAGAAAAATGGATAAAATATATGGAAAGGTGACAAATATCCTTGAGAATTTTTTTTTGCATTTTTTATGGTTTTACTGAAGCACAAATAAACATGCACACAGGCCATCTACTCGTTTTCTTCTCTACGCAGCCTGGGATTGGGATTGGTGACTCAGATGGCTGGCTGGGCTGCTCTTTCCATGATGGCCTTGCGGTTCTTAGAGGAGATGTTGTGAGCAGTCTCTGTGCAGTAAGACGTGTTGTACATCAGCAGCACCTCCAGCTCCTTAGCGTAGTGCACCAGGAACTTCCGGAAGCCGCTGGGCAGTGTGTGCTTGCCTTTCTGTTACTCCCATGACCTATGTTGGGCACCAAGATCTGGCCCCTGAACCTTCTCTGCACCCTGTTGTGGATGCCTCTGGGTTTCCGACAGTTGCGTGTAATTTTGACATACTGCTCTGACTCGTGCTGGATGAACTTCTTGGTCATCTTTTTGATGATGTTGGGCTTTATGAGGGGTCTGAGGGCCACCATGTTGTCAAGTGGGAGATGGCTGCCACCTCCATAGGCAGCACTGAGGAAGAGAGGGTTGAACATATTTTTTTTGTATTTTAGGGAACAGTCTACAGGTGTGCACCACCATGCCCAGTCTCATTTGCAGTCTCAGTGTGCCCCGGGGGCAGGGCCAGCGTGGCAGACTGGGCATTGAATGCCCAGCCCCTGCTCCTGCTTGCAGGAGCTTTAATTAGCTGAGCTATTTGCTGGCCCAAGGCACCTTATCTTACTAATAATAGAAATGCAAATCAAAAGTTCAGACTGAGACATACAGAAGTTCAGTAAACTTTGGGTGAGCCCTGGCTGTTCTCATCCACTGTCCACGGACTGTCAGCTGACTCAGTTCACAAAGGACAACTTGGTAGCTTTTGTTCAAAATTAAAGTATGTTTTTTGATTAGCACTGTGTGTGTATGTCTAATGACACATGCCAAAGGCTATTCATTATGACACTGCTTAAAGAGTAAATTTATCAGTATACACCAAGAAGCTGTACAAAAAAGGATGCAAGACTTTTATTCCCTCTTTTGTTCCAAAACTTAAAAATTAAACCCAAAGAAGTACTATAAAGCTGCTACTTCTGGGCAAAGAAGGAATGAACAGCAGCCGTTTGTGTGTCAAACTGGAAGAATACACAAGAAACTAAGCCCAGTGGTGCCCTGCTGCAGAAATGTAATTCATTCTGGTTGCAAATACAATTGGATAAGAACTAGGTCAAATGCAGTGATTAGATTCAGTGTTCACCTTGTGTAGAAATTTGATTGGGTTCTTGTCTTAGTTATTCCTCTCTTGTCACTGGGATCGGTACCTGGCACCACCCAAAATGAAGAAGGAAATGTTTCCTTAGCTCACAGTTAGTGGAGGTTTTAGTCCATACTCAGCTGGCTCCGAGGCAGAGTGGCACATGGTGGCACAGAGCAGAAATATAAGCAGCCACTAGCTAGCCTGTCTTCTCTCCTCACATTGTAAAGCAGAGCATCTGCCCTGGGGTACTCACACCCATAATCCCAGCATTGGATTGTGAATTAGTCACAAACTCCAGAACTGCCCCATGACTGCATGAAGCTTTGGGGGGACAGCTAGACATAACCATTACAGTTCTTATCTGACTTGGTTTGCAACCAGAGCTGTGTAAAGAATTAAGTTTGTGAACCAAGGCGCCACTATAGGTACAGGAGAAGTAGATAACACTCCATAGAAATTGTTTTTACTTCTAGGCACTGCAATCATTTTAAATAGACACACTTCTGAAATAAAAGAGAAAGTCTTTTTAGTTAAATTTGAACATAAATAGTAAAAGCTACATTGATGTATTTGGCCAGAAGTGAGTGGCTTTTAAGTAGAGACCCAGGGCAAAATAAAGCTCTCTAGAAGGTAAGCAGCACTATAAGCCTTGTGCACTGGACTACTTTTGATTTGGGAGCAGGGGTGTCCCATGGACCTGAAATGCCTGTCACTAAATACTATTATGGGTATAAAGCATGTTAATCTGGTAGGAAAGTCATGGTGAAGGTGCCTAGGATTTAGAGCAAAGCCATG